AGGGTTGTAAGTAATCATCAGTTTTGGAGTTGTTTCATGGTTAATTGTAAGTTGCCATTAGTTTTTGAGATGTTTCATGGTGAATTGTAAGTAACCATTAGTTTTGGAGATGTTTTTAATGGTGGGTTATAAGTAACCAACAGTTTTGGAGTTGTTTCATGGAGGGTTGTAAGTAACCATTAGTTTGTTTCATGGTAGATTGTAGATAGGAGTTGTTTAGCTGTGTGGAATGCCTTAGAAAATCTGTAAATCGGGATTCTCACTTTTAATATGCTTATATTCATTTTCCATTATATATTTATTGATAATTTTGTGTCTCTAGGAAAATGAAGTGAAAACAGGCTCATAATGATTTAATGTGATACCAGTGTATACAGTTACTGGTACATGAAAATTGAGTCAAAAGTGAAAATGAAAACAATTGTAATGAATACGTTATTACGTTTGCTTCATGCAGCCGTTGTGTTTGATATCCTTCAGGCATTTTCCAACTTTTACTATGTGATGGAGTTTCTGAACCTGACCTCGCCAAAGATGTCCCCGGAGACAAAGTTGTCAGACGTTGTAGAGGCTGTTGGGACCCTTTGTGAGAAACCCTGGAGTGAGGTAAGGGTTTTCTCAAATTATTTTGAGAATTAAATGTGGCCATATTTTGACTTCATTGAGCTGTTAGAAGATGCTGCTCTGTTCTGACACATATAAACCATTAATGGACATAATTATACCCTCTTGATTAAAGTTGCCAGTAATTCATAAACAATAGAAATATCGTTGGTTTTAATGGGGTAAGATGAATCAATTACTTTTAAAAAGAGGCAATATCGGTGTCTTTTTTCACAGTTTGATAGATATGTATAAAGGGAGGCAACGCCAATGCAAAACTTTTGTTTTTCAAAAGTCATAAAGGATACCGGTTTGTGAAATATATATATTCCTTGAGCTTATGTTGGTCAGGTACATTATGTTTTCAATATTCACCACATTCCAGGAATAGTTCTGAACTTGACTGAGTAATACAAAACAAATGTTTTTTCTTCTCCTTACATTTTCATATTTCCATACATTTAGATACACTTATGCATCAGAAGTATTTTAAGTTTGTCAGATTGACATGGGACGGGTGTTTATTTATTGTTCAGCCCTGCGGTGCTCTTGTTCTGTTTTAAAACTGTCACTTCTTCAAGATAAAACAATGTTGTACAACACTTCATGTAGTGGGACCATTCCACATTAGAACCATGTCATCATTTTTGTAGAATGATGTCAGCAATTAGACATGACAGCTGCTTTTACCAAAACAATATGCAGTTAGTCAGTTATAATTGTGTTAAAGAATTATCAAGAAAATATATAATGTTATGCAGACAGGAAAAGTTAAGTCCTTAAGATAAACTTTTAACCGCCCAAGCCTCAGCAGAGAGAGTTCCCCGGATGGCAGGATGTGACGGGAGAGGAGCTGGTGCCCTTGCCAGGTTTATTTCCGGCTCCCTCTCACGAGAGTAGGCATGTAAACACTAGGCCATTTCAGTAGAAGTCAGAGAATTAATCTATTATTATTTTGGAGGTAAGTTTCACATGATGAGAGAAGTAGAATTTAGATTTACGAGAGAAATCTCTCTTTTTATAGGTTCGGTACATGAAGACGGATATAAAATATCTCCTACCGGAGTTCTGCTTCAGGGGACGATACATCCTCACTCTTCTCCATGAGGCCTACAAGTTTGACGACGACGATGGGTCATGGCGAAAAATCAGCTTTGTTAATAACGTATGTACTAGTATTGATCACTCTTAGAGATATCATGTGTAACCTAGGTAATCAAATTTTGTACTGCTGTTGGATTTTTCCCTGAATGGTAAAATATTGTGGACTCCAACAACTAGAGTTATTCCTCTTCGTTTATCTATAAAATGTTTGTATGAATGAAAAAGTTTTGATCTGAAGCGTTTTAGTGTAGAAATTCTCCTGTGAACTTTGAAAGTCTCAGAAATATGTGTTATGTATAGGTTACCAAGATATTACTCTGGGTGCATATATGTACTTTACTGACAGAAGTCAGGCCCAGATTTTTGTAAATTCTGTGGCACGGTGGAGTGCCACCTGAGCAAACACCATATCCACCTAAATAATACTAATTCAAATTTAAACAGGTCAGAAATCACCTGCATGTTTCCAATATTCTACATCTGTGTGTATATTCTATTTTGACAGTTGGATGGTACAGAAATAGGCTGGAGTTTGGGGTACATGATATCACAGAGCGTCCACGTTGCCGCGGTAACTCCAAAGACAGTGCTGCCTCTGACAACGTTTATCCTCCTCGTCCTTCTCTTCTGTGTTTTCCTCTGTTTATCTGTCGGCTTCGCAATACATGCCATCAAAAGTCGAAAATTTGAAACAAAGGGCAAATATCAACAGCTGTCCACTACAGCGAGGGCTAACTATGGGGCTTTGTGAGAGAAAAAAAAGTTTCATTTCCATAATGCTGGGGAGATCAACTGAAGTTGCGTTTTTAGTCCCACATTTGCCAAATATAGATACATATTACATTTTTAACATGTTTAACAGAAAAAATCACCTCATGGGTTGTAGATTTCTCTGTCACACCCTCAAGGTAGGGAATGATTAATTTTCTCCCATCCTATTATTTCAGTCACAACTCCACCGACAGTAGTCTGCCATGTTTGTAAACAAAAACACATGTGGGGTATGCATATCGTCACAATTACTGGTGACACGTTTTATGACGTCACAATTGAACACGTGCTAATCGGCACAAGGCTATCTCCCCCTAGGGGGTGACAAGCTGATCTGTCACGACTGAAACGGGAGACATACTTGTGAAGGGTGGGAGAAAAACCTTTCTCCCATACTTGTCCATGAAAGACAAGAATTCATCCATGAAAAGATAAACCTGTCTTTCCCTCCGAAAAGACAGCCTACACATGCTATGATGTCATCATGTTTGTCATCAAGCAAGTCCACCAAAGGATGTCTGCTTTGAAGAAAGTTCTGCTGTGTGGTCTGAAGAATTATTTTTGTACTTGTTGTAAGAGTTAATAACTGATATAAATTACAGTTGTTGGATATTAAATGAAAATATTGTTATGGAATACAAGCATATGAGCATGTATGGAGTATTTGGAGTATGGGAGAAAAATGATCAAACATGGTTGTGGTCCTTGGAGAGGGAAATCTCAACCTGTCTGTGAGAGTTTGGCTGCTGAACACTCCGCGGAGCCTCGTGCTGGACAGCCAAACTCTTACCAGAGGGTTGAGATTTCCCGTACTTGGAGAGGCCTCATGCTGGACAGCCAAACTCTTACCGGAGGGTTGAGATTCCCCTGTACTTAGAGAGGCCTTGTGCTGGATAGCCAAACTCTTACCGGAGGGTTGATATTTCCTTGTCCATGGAAGCCTCGTACTGGACAGCCAAACTCTTACCGGAGGGTTGAGATTTCCCTGTACTTGGAGAAGCCTCGTGCTGGACAGCCAAACTCTTACCGGAGGGTTGAGATATCCTTGTCCATGGAAGTCTCGTAGTGGACAGCCAAACTCTTACCGGAGTGTTGAGAATTCCTGTCCAGGGACCACACCCAAGTGCGATTCTATTAGAAGGGGAAAACAGCTCATAACTTTCTGGAAAAGGTTTTCAAAATATATCACTCGGATAGCCTCATGAAACTTAGAATACATTTTACCCCAGAGATTTCTCTAGCTATGTTAAACAGGAGTGATAGATACTATCAAACTTAAACATGTATAGAGATTGAAATTTAGGTGTAGGCGTAGTCTTCCATTTTCCTTTTTATTTAAAGACTAGACCCTCAGCTTTTTGCTCATGTGTTGTGAAATTAATGATAAGATGAAATTATTAAGCAATTTTTTTGTATTTAAATAGAATTAGGGTTTTATTGTGTTACGCATGTAGTATGTAATCTTGTTATGTTTGATATCATTGGGACCATAATATACCCAGATAAATGGTTAAAATATATTGAAAGAAATTCCCAAGGGGCCAAAAAATATCTGGGTATTTAAGATATTTGACTTCTGAATATGGAGAATTGACTGTTGTTATGTTTTACATGTATGTTACATATCAATGGTTGTGCAAAAGGAGAGGAAAAATGCACGGCCAGACTCTAGACAGACGCTCAACCAATTGAGCTACCTGGTCGCCGACGATCGAACCAGTCCACTTTCACTACATTCCTCCCTCCTTTAACAAAGTCTTCGATCCGGAAGACACACAAGATCCTATACCACTTTCTGTGGGTATATTTGGTTGGGCGCCAAATGTAACAGGAGAGGTAAAATGCACGGCCAGACCGGGGTTCGAACCCGGGACCTTCCGAACTCGGGGGTGAAGGAGTTAAAGTGACCAGGTTCAAATATTGGTCTGGCTCCTTTGCATTTTTACACTATCTATTAATTATCAATTTTCAAAGGTGCCTGTGTGTGTTACGATTATCACACAAAAGAGTGTTGCAGATTTTTTTGGTATTCCGTCTTTATTATTCTATCATAAAATTTCTGCGAGGTATGGATTTCTTTTAAAAAGTCATTTACTGAAGCTGTTTTTATGTCGGGAAAGAACGTTGTCCCCCCACCACCCTCAAAAAACAAAAACAACACACCATTAGGTGGGAACATAAATTTGAGGATTACAACTACCCAGTCATAGGGAGAAAAGCTTTTTGTCAAACCTCAGGGACCTATAAATTTGTGGATGAAGAGTACCCATGAAATCAGCGAAATTAAAAACTCCACAAAAATTTATGATTTCACAGTATTTGTTTTTTCCATTGTATTTTGTAACATTGATCATAGTGTGGTTTGGGTTGGAAGTGATGAAACTGGTGCTGTAGAAGTTACGGGAGAAACAGAAATATCTTGTATAAATGTGTCGTAGCAAAGCTCAGGTCATGTTTGAGTAACAGTTTGATCAACGGACATGTATTGAGACCTCATATTCCTTAATTCTGATCAACTGTGAGATGTATACTGTATATCAGGAATTTTTTTGCTGGAGTTTAACTTTCGCCTTTTTCCGCCCTCCGTTATGATTCATTACAGCGATAACAGTTAACAAGGTAACCTATATAGTAATTAAATGTGAACAGTGAAATTATCACTCGGCGAAAATTGATTTCATGGGCGATGGTGAAAACTTGACTGGGCGAAAAAATGTCCAAGTATACAATATAAATTCCATGAAGTTCTCGTCCATTGAGTACTGGTGTTGTCACAGCTGTATTTCAATCATTAGTATGGAATATTTGGTTCATCATATTATAATTGAATAAGAAATACATGTTGTGACTTGTAAATTACCAATATGGTCATCTGTGATAACCAGTGTATTTTGTGTTAAAGGTTGTATATGACTGTAAAATGTGATGTTTTTGCCTTGCTACATTTTTTACCTACATGTTTGACCTTAGATGACAAATTCTCCTAGTGTTGAACTCACCGTCCTTTTATTTGAAACTTCCTAATCCTTTGTCAAGTTTCCGCCAGAAATTGAATTCACCCTCCTTTTTTTTTTAACTTTCTGACACTGTTTTAATTTTCATGGTGATGATGAAGTCAAACTCTTGTCTATAAATGTCACCTCTGTATAGCAAACTCCTGTTTATAAAGGTCACCTATGTATAGCAAACTTGTCTATAAAGGTCACCTGTATATCAAACTCCTGTCTATAAAGGTCAACTGTATATCAAACTCCTGTCTATAAAGGTCACCACTGTATATCAAACTCCTGTCTATAAAGGTCACCTGTATATCAAACTCCTGTCTATAAAGGTCACCACTGTATATCAAACTCCTGTCTATAAAGGTCACCACTGTATATCAATTTCCTGGCTATAAAGGTCACCTCTGTATATCAAACTCCTGTCTATAAAGGTCACCTATGTAAAGCAAAAAAATAAAATTCACCTCTTTGTAATAAATACCTGTCTATAAAGGTCACCTCTATAGTTAAGTCTTTCAATGAAGACCACGTCTATGTGACCAAGAACTGTCTGTAAGGGTCACCTCTATAACGTTAAAACCTGTCTATAAAGGTCATCTGGTTAAAGTAAAATCTTGTCTATAAAGGCAACCTTTGTGTATGAAATACCTGCCTATAAAGACAACCTCTGTATAGAAAATACCATTCTATAAAGGCCACCTCTATAGTAAAGTCTGTCAATAAAATCAAAGGCACAAGGTTGTTGGAGAACTTTGATGATATCATATATCTATACAGATTTTGTAGATCATACATCAAACAGAAAATGTCACAGAGTTGTCTTTCTTTGTGTGTAGTCGGAGTATGTAAGATATGAGAAGTGTATGGTATTACGATGTGTGTGTATGTGGTTACCAAAACCAATGGTGTGTGTTAATTTACTGACCAATGGTATGTTGATTTACTGACCAATGGTGTGTGTTAATTTACTGACCAATGGTGTGTTGATTAACTGACCAATGGTGTGTTGATTTACTGACAAATGACATTTTTTTTTTATATCAGAAATACTTGGAGTATTTCTAGTGATTTGTTTTGTGATTATTTTTGAAAGAAATCAACAAATAAAATTTGTGATGATTTACCAGATCTTTGACTGATTTGTAATTACATCAACAGCTTACCCCCTTCATTAGATATATTATATTGATATGAAAACATTGTGGTAAAATTCTGTGCATGGATGTTATCTCTACAAATGTAGCTGATTTTCAACATACCTTTTAGCCTGTCATGGTAAGCTTCATTTACAATGCCTCTGAAGTGATATATGGACAAGGTAAGTGCTTTAATATTATCAAATATAAAAAGTGGGCCATTTTTTTTTACTTAAATGAGTTTTTAAAGTTGTGTCAACCTAAAGCAAAAAGACCACTTTAAATGTAAACACAAAATCTTTAAAATGCACTATGTATTGTTGGATTGATTAACTAGGATTCCTTAGGTACGCGGAATCTCCTGACAATTCTTTCAATCTTTAAACTTTTGGGGATTATTTCTTTATAGAAGAGTTAAAACTTGTTAATGATATAAAGATATAATCTTAAAAATAAATATAAGGGATATAGAAGCTTAAGAGGTTATATTTTAAGATTAATTGAACATCTACTCAATTTTTAAAATTCAAGTAGGATGACATGTTTTGTAATAAATGCTTACAACACTAGTTATACAAAATGATCATTCACACAAGTTTATCAAAGATGTTCTTGAAAGCCACCTGTTTCAGTCATATAAATGAAACCATAGCAGGTGAACTACGAAGGCCTGTGGGCCTTTTATTATTTCCCAAGATTAATATCGGCACTGGCTTCAATTTCTCTTCCAGAAAAATTAACATACAAGAAGTAGGGTATCGTCGGCAAATACTGGCAAGGTTGTCGGTTGTATCATTTATATAATACGAGCAAAGACAGAACCTTGTGGCACACCAGCGTAGTATGGAGTTAGGAGAGATAGTACTATGGAAACAAACTTCTTGGTGAAAATGCTTCCGAATTTTGATTATTATTGAGAAGACGACCAGTTTCTTTTTAGCTTTATAACTCATTTACAAGACCTGCTTGCCATACTCTGTCAAACGTATATATTGACTTCTTGCTGATCACACATCTAAGAGAGATATTTATTGGTAGAAACATTCCCG